TATATATATATATATATATATATATATATATATATATATTTGTCATTTTGTTCTCTTTTGCTATCTTTTCATACAGCAGAGAAATTTTGTACTCAATAACTGAATGTAAACAATAAATGTTTAAAAGTGATCCAGCGAAAACAGCAAACTTCAAAAAATGATCTAATGTTACAACAATTCTTTAAGACGCAGAAAGCTTATTTCCTTATGTAAGTAACTGCTTGCATTGAAGATTTACAAGATTGGAAATGATTTCATATGCTCATTTTTAAGCGTTTCAAAATAAATATTTGCGAACTTGAGATAGCCAACCGTCACTGAATTTTGCTTCTGAATCGAAATCACAATGGACCACTATTTTTCCATTAACATATGATACAGTAATGATCAAATGGTTCAAACTTTTCAAATCATGTGTTAAAATAAGTTTTAAGGCTTAAAACATTTTTCCTTTCATTCTTGATTTGACCATAAAGGAATTCATCAAAGGCCGCATTTGTCCTGAGGGCCATGAATTCGGCATGCTTAATTTAGGGTTAAACTTTTCTTTCTAAGAGTATTATTGACTTATACGTATAGAGACATCTCATTTAATAACTTAATTCACAAGAAACAATTTCTATCCGTGAATACCATCCAAAATCTTAATATAAATAAAAGTCATTGTGGGTATGTGTGTGGGTATGTGTGTGGGTATGTATGTGGCTATGTTCCACATCTCCTCCTAAACCAATGGACGGTTTTCAACCAAATTTTGTACACTTATCATTTAAGACAAGGGGAAGACACTTATGAACTTTTCTAAGTCCAAAAGTTAATTAAACAGTCAGTTAATTAGAAAATAACCGAAACCGTTTTTCCGCCGTAACTTCGGAGCAAACTGTCCGACAGAAAATATTTTTATACCATCTTAAAGTTCAAATTTTACCTTTTCAATGATACCAATTTTATTTCTCTGACATTTTCCCTTCGATTGTTATTAATTTTTAAAAGTTCTAAAATTTTAAAATGCGTGCAGACGATTTTGAAATAACGAAGATTTATAGCTACTCCGTTGCTAGGCAACGGTTAGACTTTGAACTAATTCACCTTTATTTCTGAAAATTTTGCTTATTTTTAAAAATATCCATATAATATAATAAATGCGAAAGTGTGTCTGTCTGTTTGTTACGCATTCACGGCAAAACTACCAAACCGATTTGGATGAAAATTGGCAGAGTTGTAGCTTGGAACCCAGGAACGGAGATTGGGTAGGTGACATCATGTTAAATTCATTATTTTTGGCTACAGATAACAATTAAATAATTAACAAGCGATTTGCGATGAAGATTATTACTTTATTTTTCAATCAACTGCCACGTGATCCTTAAGGAATGCGTAAACAAAATGAAATGTCACGTGATCCTTCAGAAAAGCGCAAGCATGTGGAATAACTTATTTTTAAAGTCATGCATCACGTGATCTTGCTGAGAAAAGAAATAATCTCTGGAATAATAACTGAAAAATAAACGCCGGGACAGAAATCTAATGGTAGATATAATATAGTTCCAAGAGTTTTTAGATTAAAATTTAAAAACTAAAGTTAAGTATAACTAAATGAAAATATCGTTCAATATTTACTTAAAATAAGAGCCAAATTTAGTGGAAAGGTTGCCAAAATTATTCTTTATCGCTCTTTTCATCGTCATCCAAAATGTTTTTGGCGGTTAAATTTGTAACCAAACGATTTAGCTAATTACAATAGTTCCGTTTCGAATTTTAATGCTTTAAGAGCTGTTTCTAACCGATTTAAATAGAAAGGATTACACAAACCCAAAGAACACGGAATTCAACGTTTTGTTTACTAAAGAAAGAACTAATTCGAGCTTGGCGCTTGATACAGTTGCCAAATAGATTTGGCGATTGCTTAAATCGGAAGGTTACCGGAAAACGGTCTATGAATCCAAAATAAACAAATCATGATCGTCCATTGACGTATATGATATGGTTGTCAGAGTTTTTAGAATAGGAAGGTATATTTTGTCTTATGTATTCTTTTAAACAGTAGAAGCAGATGACATATAGCATGGTGGATGATATATTCCAAAGAGCAGATGATACCATTGAGTACAATGATGTAATTTACAATAACGGAGACTTAAATTAGTCGTCCAATTATGTATTATCAACCGTCAGAACTTTTGATTTCCCCTTTCTATGTATAACGAAACATTTACATTCGTGAATTTAAAAAAAATAGCAATTCAAATTCTTCGCGCACGAAGTCGCGGGTAACAGCTAGTCTTTTCTAAATACTAGTTGTTAGTTTAAAAAGTATTCCCATCATCTAACCATTACAGCAAAAATTTCGTTGGAAGATTATATTATTGATATATTTTGTTATGAATCCTGCTCTTGCAGTCGAATCTGCACATTATGAGCACAAAATACATTTTTCAATTCCTACTATTAATTCACACTCTCCCTATATATATTTATTTATATATCTTGTTCAAATTTTCAATCGATATTAAAATACTTTTTTTTCATCCACTCAAGTTCAAATACATTTTTTTAAACTTGTAGTGGATGACACTTGATGTTAATACAGTTTTTTCAAATATCAATTCATTAATTAAATTGAATTAATTAATTTTATTTATTAGAGCCTCGCACAGGCTACGATCATGGTGTAGGGATAAGAACAGCGGGCCGGGACTCGGTAGCGCAACGGTAGTGCGTCTGACTCCAGATCAGAAGGATGCGTGTTCAAATCACGTTCGGGTCAAGAGATTTACTTAAAACAAATCATTTTTGCACTTAATTTATATTCTGAAAAATATCTTTTGTTGTCAATTGCATCCAAAAATGTTTAGTTCCCCGTTTGAATGGATAAACGTAGGTCTATTTTATTCTTTTCAATTCCTACTATTAGTTCACACTCTCCCTATATATATTTATATATCTTGTTCAAATTTTCAATCGTTAATAAAATACTTTTTATTCATTCACTCAAGTTCAAATACATTTTTTAAAACTTGTAGTGGATGACACTTGATGTTAATACAGTTTTTTCAAATATTAATTCATTAATTAAATTTAATTAATTAATTTTAGTTTTATATGGGAGAAAACAATTTCTAAAATAAAATTTTTCTTTGTTGATCTAAGTAGGAATTGACTTTAATTTTTTTTATATATTACTTGTTTTTTTATCAACCGAGCCAAACCCTAAAATTTTCGTTGTTGCTTAGTCCCTATGTTTATGAACAAATGTGTATGTACATCCATTTAACCCTCTCTCCGGGATTCAAGCGTCCTTACGTTGTTATGGTGTGGAAGTTTGCAAACCGGAATGTTGACTCAGGCATCTTCCTGGTGATCTGACCACGATTCAAAAGTCCGAACCATCTCAGAATATCCATCGCGTAGCATCTAAATCGAATGTTAGTCTAACAAATCATATCTAACGTTCTTATGAAGCATAAAAAATATAGATAAATACACTAACACTTCGATAATTTAACTTTTAGATTGTTTCATTATCCTATTCTAAAAGAGCATAATTCTGATATAAAATACATTTTTTCGTTATTGAAAAATATACTTACCTGGTAAAATAATGTATCTAATTTTATAATTTTGTCCTTTACGTCCTGAAATAAGAAATAAAAAAATGGGAATTAGTTTTTATCTTTCAAAATGTGAAACACTAAATTTAGTGCCGGTACAAGGGTACCTGGCACTCCTAAGCAAAGAAAAATTCATGCGCCTTCGAAAAAGAAGAATTTATCCATCCCGAATTTAATTTTAAAAAGCAGTAATTTTCTTATATTAAATTTGTTCGTATTCGGTTATGTTTTGTTTGGTAATGTCTGTGAACAAATCAGTATTCAGCCAAACATAACATAAACGAATATAAACAAAATTGATGAAAAAATTATTGTTTTTTTAATTAAAGAAATATTTGAATTGCTCAAAAAAGAAAAATAATCAGTCATATTTGCAAATTTTTTGCGCATCAGTAATTTATTAACATATACAGTGAAACCTCTCTGAGCGGCCACCCCTCCGTTCCGAGAAAAATTGGCCGCTCTGAAGGGTTTTCGTTACAATTACAAGATAATTGCTATAATACGTAATATAAACAAATCTGACACATATTTCTTATTTAAAATGAAGTTTTAGACTTATCTAAAGAGAAAATAGTACTTTACTTAATAATTTTTTACATTTTTTGAAGAAAGGATACAATTTGTGACTGTTTTAAGTTCTTACCCTTCTCGGAAAAAACCCATTTTTTTCAAGTTCGTTTTTCAGTTTAAAAAGTAAATTTCTAGTCGATGCGTTTGTTAAATGGGATGGGCGAACCCACCCGGCGGCCGTTCAGAGGGGTTGGGTGGCCGTTGATAGGGGTTATTTTAACATTAGGTCTATGGGCCGAAAAATCCGTGCCACGAAAAATTGGCCGTTAAGAGGGGTGGCCGCTATGCATGGGTGGCCGTTTGAAAAGGTTTCACTGTATGTATAATAATAAATTTTTAACTTAGTTGCAATACATATTGCAATCCGGTATTTATAAGAAGGGCAGAAATCCGTCGAACACATGACAACAATGAAGAAGTACCTCAATGTTGTGGAGGCCCTAGACGCTCTCCTAGAGTCATCTAATGGCAAAACCGACTCTAATTAAATTTAGATTTTATTCCTAAAAAGAGTACAGAAAAGCACCCAAATCCACTCACAATATCCTTGATTCCGACAGGGACTAACTCGGCGAGAACTGAAACGACGTTGTTAGGATTCCTGACAGGTCTTACTAACTTGTCGTAGTTCTCGAACAACGCTTTTCTCAAATCCCGTTCTGTATTAAGTTCTGAAATAAAAATTTTTAAAAATGAGATTTAAGTAGGTTATAAAACAGCAGTTATTAAACTTAAATGAATAAACATGCGTGAATTTTGTAATGAACACCGAATTGTTAAACTGTTGGAATGTCCTATTCTAGTATAATTACGTAATAGGGCTTGCTCTGTTTTGTCGTCGTGTAATGAAGGGAATCAACTACCTTTCTACCAACTGGGTCCAAAATTTGATACAGGACTGCAATTTTGTTGGCAATACAACTCAACAAATTTCCTTTATCTATCTCATTGTAATTTTGAGTTTTCGCGTTCACATAAACAGAACAACAGACTGTAAAGTTGTTGATGGAATTTCGCCAACCATATGATACAAATCTACTATTGTAGTGTAAAGACCGCATATGAAATTTGCTGGTACAGCGCCTGTGCCACCAGTTAGGTAAAGGTTTATTTTATTGTTCGTACACTGCTTTTTCTGATATTTGGTTAGGATTACAAATGATATGCAAGAACAAGCGATCACTCCGTTTAAAAGTTGCTGTATATGTTGATAATCAATGTGAATAATCGGTTATTACACATAATTACCGCGGTGATTATATATAACTAGAAAATCACCCGTCATGGTATGACGGATGCAAATTGCGCTCATTCTAGAGATTTCCCGTCAAATTTGACGTGTTTAAATAGATATATATATATATATATATGCGAGAGATGTGTTTAACATTGATTGAAAACAAATAAAATAAACTTATGTTTTATGACAGGAAATATTTTTTTGTTTACATATTATTTACATACTTCTTTATTCAAAAAATCTCTTGGTAAACAACATTCCGTGTGAAGTAGTTTTCGTCGTTTAACGATTTTCCTTGTACTTCAGATATCTAATCAAGACAAAGCACTTCTCTGCTTGTCAAACGTTGCCAAACAATATTATCAAATTATATCATCACTATTGCAATAAAATAATCAGATGCATCGTGGCGTTCAAACTATATCACACGCATGATATACCACTGACATAATATACAACTTTCTATTGAAAAACGGAAATTAACTGAAATATATGATTAATATAATTTAAAATTTCTCGGGAACTATTGATCATAGAGAGATAAATTTTATATCAATCGATAGCAAATTTTATTTCACTATTTTAGAGCTATAAAATTTGAAGTTAGAACGAAAATTACTCTTTTAAATTTAAAATTACTGAAAGTTAGGTTCTAACATTGAAATAATGCTGTTTAACTTCTCACAGTGCTATGGCGCGAGTTTTATTGTTGGTGACGTCAGAGCGTTACCAAGAGACAGATTTGCGCTATTATATTATTAATAGCCTGCTAAAGATCTTATAATTATGTATAATAACCATTGATCGACTTTGACTGTAACATACATAACATGCAAGTTGCCCTCAAAATTCAAGAAACTAATGTTTCATTTCTTGAATATATATATATTACAACGGACAACTTACAGTTGTGAATTGTAAAGTGTAAGAAAACAAGCAGCATTCAATCAGTCAATATCAAGTACAGAGAGAATTCTTCAAAATTATTTTTCAAATAGTAGTGTGGCAAATTGTAGTTATACGAGGCTTGTTTAGTGAAAACTAAGGTTGATGTTGGAAGAACTTTATTTTAAAAATAAATATATGAAAAGCAAACTTACCCTCAGCATATCCTAATCCAAATACAAGACACACGACGAAAATGCTTCTAGACATAGCCATCGAACCAAACTCAGCTGCCTATAGAAAATTCTGCAGTATGATGTGAAATGAATTCTTTATAAAGAAATATCTAACATTTTATATTTCTCTTTGATGAAAAAAAGTTTCATCAAAATCTTATCATTTTCGTTGATTGACGTTTTTTGTGTGGTCCCATTAGATGGAATGCTAAAATCCTGATTTTAGGAGAATGCAATATTGTTTCCAGTATTGTGGAAGCGGTATTGAAACCCTGAAAAGCTGATTAATTGATTATCAGTCTGAAAATTCTCTCCCGATGATTAGTTTTCAATTATTCTATTTATGTAACTTTTCATCGAAGTCAAAAGAATGCGAGAAATAAAAGGCGATATCAAAAGTTTGTTTATTTTACACCAATTAAAGCACGTATTTTCGAAAGAAGCTAATTAAAAAGATAAACCTTTGGCACACTCTGAGTTCATACTATAAGTAAGAATAAAAATTTGTTGGTCTATGTGACGATTTATTTCCTACTTCTGATGACTCATTTTTTAATGAAATGCTGGCTATTTTTCTCAGTGCTGTTTCTTTAAAAATTTCATTTACTTTTCCGTACTTTTGCTTCTATATTATCTAAATACCCTGCTATTTTTGTCCAGAGTAATAGATATAGGCTAATGCAAATATTTTGTCATTCTTTCAACTCAGCACTTACAAGGCACACAAAAGCAAATTCTGTACGGTTATAATAAAAATTAAAAAGAAAAATTAATAATGCGGTCAAAGTTCCGTAAGTGAATACAAGTATTATCTTGCCAACTGTCGAAATGTTAGCCATTTTTGTCCAGGCAATGCTAATATCTCCAAAAATGACATTGCCGCGAAATGGCATTGAAAATCTCCCAAACAAGCGGGAGAGATAGATGTTTGACAGTTTTTTGAAGGTCATCAAAGAACAGTTGCATGACTTTGAAACCTATAAAGTCATACAAGCTAAGAAACAGCAGTGACACCCGTAGCAAAGAATAGATATTGAATACGCAATGTGGATGTCTTAAAAGGCGCTATCAGGCATAAACTTTAGCAGATCGCTGTCTACAGACAATCACGTATAATGGGTCATCGAATGTGGAGCGTTTGTGAAACTAATTCATTGCCTCTTGTTTCAACAATTTTTATATATGACTTTCGACAGTGTTTTTCGTGCCGCAAGTGAAGTTC